GTCAAGAGGCCGGGTGTTTTCTCAAATTAATCCTAATATTTTTTTCTCCTTACGATATGATATAATCTGAGAACAAATACGGCAGATATTAACAATTTCTGGCTTCTATGAAATAACAATACTGACGGCAATCTCAAAATGGAAACTCTGCCGAAAGTAGTAACTACTTACAATCAGACACCTTTTCGGAGTAGGATTAGTTAGAATTCACGAATCCAACTCCTACTCAAACTCGGCTCTTTTGATCTCTATGTAAGTCGAAGAAATTCACTCTTAATTCTTTCATAATCGTTCCTCTCTCCGTTCTCCTAGTTTCCGAGTGAGAGAGTGATCAATGGAGAAAACCGCAGAGGGAATTACCATCATCGAGGAGCAACGCAGCAGAAAGAGGAAAGAGTTCGACGCTGAAGACGAGCCTGCGGAATCAAAGAAGACCCGTTCGAGTCTGGTGGACGAGTTTAAGATCGAGGAGATGGATGCAGAGACGTTTTACGAGGTGCTCGATTGGCTCGATCAAGTACTTGCTGCCGACATGAGTCTCATCAAAGTTGATGGCGGTGATGACGGTGCTCCCTTTTCGTCGGAGTTTTACTATGACTACTCTTCGGCAGGGCCCACTTTCGTGTCGACTTCTGGCGATGGAAAGGAGGAGGAGACCTGTGGGGCTTGCTTCTCTGACTGGAGGTCTACGGTCATGGCCAACCTGGACGTTGGTCAGAGGTCACATGGTTATGGGAGGGAGACGAAGGTTAACCTTTGTATGAAATGAGAAGAAACAAACAAGAAGGGAAGTTGTCATTTGGGAGAGAGATTATTGGATTGTCTTTATTTTTTTTCCCTTTCCCTTTTTCTATTTTTTAATTTTTTAATGAGGTGTTGAAAGAAGTAAAATAAAGTTTAGATTCCGTTTGCAGTTTAATTGTTGAGTCTGAAGTTACTTTATCAATGGTTGATTTGTTATTGAATACCAGGAAATTGGACTCTTTTACTGTCATATCGATAATCATCTAAGAGCTATGATTCATTTCTAATATAACTAAGATCATATCTCAAAAGAAATTCATTCTCACATTTTACCCTGGACAAATCATAATTGTACGTTAAATAATAAACAAATATGATTAGTGAGTGAGATAAGTTAAAACCAATGCTTTGCTATTGGTGTAAAGTAGTTCTTCCAAGTAACTAGTCAAGCTCTGAAATTTCCCCCTCATAATTGATGGGTCCTTAAAGAAACCATTATCATCTCAAGTACACATGTGAGAATAATCAATTACACCAATACATTCACAAATAACACATTCAAACTTTATTTTCTTCATCAAATTTGGAACAATATACACAAATGAAGACGGAAATGCACAGAAACATGAATTCAGTTGCATTCTGAAGGAACAGAAGTATGAACATATAAAATACAACATTAGCTATAGCCTGAAGCATCAACTTTGAGCCCCATGGAAGACTGCGTCCATAGTTATTGCATTTCGCGGAGGAGGATGAGGATGCTTGAGGCAATCAATAAGGCGAGCGATGAAAGAGGGCCTGAAGCGGAGGAAGACAAAGCTAATCTGACTGATTACTCCCCCGGTGAGCGCCATGATTGTAACTGCCTCCATTTTCTTGACGTTTCAGCAATCAAATTATTCCAAACTACTTCGAGTATATTGTGGTGGTAAGAGAGGAATGAGTCCGTATGTTTATATATATAGTATTTTGGGGAAATAATAGCTGTAGAACTGTTGTTTTTTCGTAACAAAAGTGGTTAGTATTTAGGGGTCAATATGTGTTTGAAGTTTTCCTACCTTCTTCAGTTTGTTGTCAGTTTTCCTACCTTCTTTATGGGCTTGATTTAGCTACGCAAAACGAACTCCAGAGAGGCGATAGACGCTATTTAGAATATAGAAAAGCCAAGTTAACTGGAGATGTTACCAAACACGTGTAGATATAGAAAAGCTACCAATAGAGCGGACAGTGCGCCAAACCTGTTTCTAAAGGTATAATGGTGAAAGCTTCAACCTTTGATGCGCTAGAGATCGATGCCTATGCATTTCTACATGAATCAAAGGAGTCACACAATTGATAACTGATATAATACAGAAAAGAAAAGGAGTACCGACTCTAGTACAATGTAATAATCTAATCCTTCGTCCGTCAAAATGAACTGATCAACTATGCGGTAAGGATGAATAAGTTTTGAGACCGGTTTCCAATCTGCCGTCCTCCTCTATTTAGTACCAGGTGCCAAGTTCCTGGCCAAGGAAGTTGCAGACTGCTGAAGCGGTTGATAAAGAAAAAAAAGAGGATAATACTTGTGCAGGAAATATTATGGTTCATCACACCTCAAGTGACAGCAGCAGATAATAGCAGCACACCCAACATGGTAGTGACGCCAATTATCATAGTAAAATATCGAATACCCACACATATATAGTAAGGCTTCAAAGTTTCAAGTCATGATGCAGATACAATTAAACATTTTAAGTTTACTTGTATTTCATCCCTTAACCACATTCAGAACTCCTACAACAACAACCACCAAACCTTCATCCCGTATGTTTGGGGTCGGCTAACATTCAGAACTCCTCAGCTAGCTTATTAGAATTTTATTACAATCCCCTCCTTGGCTTTTCTCCAGCAGCTAACGACGTTAAACTTTTCCGTCGCCAGAGCATCACATGCAATACATGCACATGTGAACAACATAAATTCCCGTAGCTACCCCTTTCTCTTCCTCCTCATATATCTAACAATTCAAACCAAGAAAATGAATAATGGAGATCTTTGCAGCAGCGAATAAACGCATCAGAATGTCTTATCCATGGGAGCTCACAAGCTTATAATACGAAACTTGAAGATGACCAAACTTTGAGAAGCTAATATGAATTGATATTCTCCATATATGATGCCTTTGATGTTAAATGATACTACAAGATAATACAATTTCCGGCTAGAGAACTTCATAAATCAGCAGTATAAGTTATATGCCTTCTGATGCTAAATGAACGTCAGAGAAAGTTGTGCATATAATAATATTTACATAGTCCAGTATCTGAATTTAATCCTAGATATCAAGAATCACCTTTCCTCAGAGGGCGGAGCAGCTGACTTCCGACCTTGACTAGAGCATTTACATACTTGGACAATGCTGATTGATCAGAATGCAACTCGGGCTGATCCTCAAAGAGTCTAATAACTGTTTCTGGGTCATTTCTAATTTCGGTCGGTATTTACACTGCCAACATAACTCGACTGAGACCCATGGAAGGTGAGACGAGGTCGACTCGACCACTTAAATCGATAAAACTTGGATGCTCCACTCGCTGCCGATCACAACCTGTTCAAAGAAAAACCAAATTGGAAATTATGTAAAAGGCCAAGTCTCGCTGCGGTTATCTTTGCAGGAATCAGTTCTTCACATCCCTTAAAAGTATCCAAGTTAATCAATTTTAAACATTTCTTTGTGGAAAAGAACACCCCATTTTTCTAACATGTCTACAAGTAAAACAACATTACAAGGAAATATTCCAATAGCCACCAGAAGGAACGCAGATTTTATCAAAAAAAATCCCTGATAGATTTGGCTCCATACACCCTAGATTTCCAAGGACTCAAACAGAAGTTGCGACGTACATTAGTAGGGCTGAGCATGGTTCGGTCCAAACCGAAAAAACCGACCGAACCGATCTGAACCGACCCGAAAAAATCGATTTTATGAGTAGGGCGGTTCGGGTTGGTTTGAAAACTTTTAAACCCGAACCGACCGAATATAGTGCAATACTACTCATTCTGATCTCAAACCCTACTCAACTCGTCCCCAAAGAGTCAAAGACTCAAACCCTAAACTCATTTTCTGAATCATTATGGGTTAAAAATAATATCATTATATCAATGTTTAATGCTTCATAATCTCCTACTTTGTTGATATCTTTTTTCCTTTAACACAGTTTGTTGTTTGATAAGAAGTTTGATGAAGTTAGAACCGAACAAACCGAATCGAACCACACCGAACCGACTTGCAACAATTCGGTTTGGTTTTGAATTATAGACAGTTCGGTTCGATTGTTCAAATTTTAGTAAAAACCGAACCGAACCGACCGTTGCACACCCATATACATTAGTTAGGATTCGCCTCGTGGCCATTAATGCACCCCTCTAGCTCAAAAGACGGAAAAAAAACCCTGCTTTTTTTTTTAATTTTAACTTCGATTCGGTAAAGAGAAATCCCTTTGTTATGATTCGATCGAGAGTGAGAAATTTCTGAAGGGGAGAACCAAAATGGGTCCATGATTTTCTCCGACACCTCCGTCGATCTTTTCAGAGACGCCTGGGGAGTTATCGCGACGGCGACGCTTGTCGTAAATGGGTCCTCACTGCGAGCCTCCAGGGCGAACCACCCCTCTGAAACCAAACTCGGAAGCGTCCAACAGCTACGAAGCAAGTCATGTTCGGATTTTTATAGAAAATAATAATAATAATATCATCCGTCTCGCAAAAAATTGCAGGTTTTGTGGAGTTTTTTTTTTAAATGAAATGAAGTAACGGACTGATGTAAATTCATTTTTGGAAGCGATTATGGTTCATGAAGATGCAAGTATGTACACACGGAAAAAAAAGAACCCTAGAAAATCATGAATAGTGGCCTAATTAAATTATCGTTAATCACATGCACAGAGAGAATATTACACTCTAATTCATGAATAAATTATTAGGCCCGTCGTGAAATTTATTTTTAAATAAATTCACAATTGAAACAAGATTAACCTATAAACTCAGCCCTCGGTTATTCATGAACCATAATCTTTGCCAAAAACTTTGCCAAGATGGGAACACACATCAGCTGCCAAAAACTTTAGAAGCAAGATAAACATTGAACACACGATTCTGAGACTATCAAGAACAATAAAATTTCAACTCTTTAAGGCTGCTGCAGCAGCAGAAGCAGCAGCAGCAGCAAAAACGACACCGGACAAAAAAGGGCATAAATGCAGTCTCCAAAAAAAACATCAAGTTCACAGTCTGTAAGTTGCCCATACGGTAAACAATTACAGAAACGTCCACTTTGCAAATCAACCTCAAGACCAGTTAGAAAATAGTTGCAACGGCTCTAAAAGGTGAATACATATTATCTGATTAATAGTAATAAGCATAATCCTGTCTTTCCATAGGAATATCTTTCAAAAGCAGTAGATTCAACTCCTACGGCAAGGAGTCGAGTTCTTGAGCCAAGCTTTCAGATTAACGGGCCCACACGGTAGCGTGTGCACTTTTTTAAGTATTTAGCTTGTTCAGAACATCTTCCTCCGGCCTGTAAATTAGGTCACGCGTGCGCCACATCTGCATCAACATTTATGATGAAATTAGAGAGCATTCTAACATCAATATAACCAACTCCGCATGCATGTCAACCCTAAGTTCATTGGGTGGTAGCTTGGTGCCAAAATCCTTTAGCAAGAAACATTTTTCACACATACATATATATATGGCATGCACTGAACAGAAACGACATCATCTTTTTATGCCTGCTTAAAAGTATCCGACTTGCACAAGTTGGTATAATGTCTTTTATTCTAAAACGTAACACATCAACAGGGTAAATTTTCTACACAACAACTATAGTCGGCAGAATAGAGGAAATATCACATACATAAAACACTTGCCTGCAGAGTCCCACCACCGTTAGTGCTCGCACAGTCATCAGATACACTAACAATGGTTCATTCATCCTCTGTATTCCAATTGAAATCAACTACTTTATCTCTGCATCCTCAGACAAGAAGCAAAACGAGTATAAATAAATGTCACCTTTGAAAAGTTAGCTAAAAAAATAATAGTAACCAAAACTAGTCATCAGTCAGTTCTTGTATGCATATTTTTGATCTATTAGCAAGCTACCTGGATATCTTTGTTATCCAATATACACACACACGCTCCCTGCACAAGAAATCTAGGCCTCGCCTATTTACAAACTAATCAGTTTAAACATAAAGTCAAAACCAGAAAACATATGGGCGTAAATCAAGAGCAAGGATAAATAGTTAACCTAAATGCACTAACTCCAATTTTACCATTTCATGAAGAGAAATGATGAATTTTCATGAATGCTTGTAGAGTTGACAGGAATGTTGACATAACAATATTACTATACAAGGAAACAAAACCCACTGCTTTATTGCAAAGATCCTGCAGCTGGCTGAGTAACACTTTTAGCCTTAGCTTGTTGCCTGCAGCGCTGCACGCTGGCCGGTTGTGCGCCGCTGCCACGCGATGCAGCAGCGAAGGAGAAGGCTGTGTATGCATTAACCACCACCTCCTGCTGCTGATGCTGCTGCTTCCCCTCTCTCGCTTGAGCAAGCAAACTCTTAATCTGAGCCCCAGTTAGAGTTTCCTTCTCTAACAAAGCATTTGCTAGCGCATCCAGCTCTTTACTGTGAGTGGTGAGTATAGTCTTGGCGTTGTTATAAGCTCTCTCGAGAAGCTCTTTCACCTCCTCCTCGATCAGCAACCTCGTTTCTGTGCTCATACTCTTTCCATCATCATCATAGTTGTGAGTAACAACACCGACCTTCTTGCTCATCCCATACTTGGTCACCATTTTTCTTGCTAGTGCAGTGGCTTGCCTGAGGTCTGAGGAAGCACCGGAAGTCACTTCGCTTTCCCCAAATATTAGTTCTTCAGCGACTCGGCCACCCATGCAAACATCCAGCCTAGCAAGCATTTGCTTGCGTGTCAGGCTGGTCTGATCCTTGTCCGGCAACTGCATCACCATGCCGAGGGCCATTCCACGAGGAACAATTGTGGCCTTATGAACTGGCATTGCACCATCAGTGTAGATTGCAACAAGAGCATGGCCACCCTCATGGAACGCTGTAGTTCTCCTGTTCTCTTCAGAGATCACTGCTGACTTCCTTTCGCTGCCCATTGTGATCTTGTCCTTCGCATATTCGAGATCAGCCATTGTGACAGATTTAGCCCCATCCATTGCTGCCTTGACTGCAGCTATGTTCACAAGGTTCGCGAGATCTGCACCTGAGAAGCCAGGGGTAACTCTGGCTAAGATCATAAGATCTACATCCTCTCCCTTCAGGATCTGCACAAAAACCATTTCAAGGGACTTACTACTGCATAAACAATGAAGATTAATAGTATAAAAATTTTAGTTTCGATAGATGAACATCCTATGACAAAGATATATTGGACACTACATGTTAAAAGTTCAATCAACTTCACCAACACTCCCAAGTTGTTGTGACGATTGAGGATTGTTATTTTATAACATTTCTGCATGTCGAACGCATTCATGGGCCGAAGCTGACTCACATAGTGGTTTCTCCTTTTTCGTAGATATGTTTAAATATGTGGCCAATCGGATTGTTAAAAATCCCTTATACCGTGCTGAATCTCCAGAATTGTAGTGATGGTTGAAGGGTTATACTTTCAAATTTTAACACTAACAAAACTAACCAAGAAGAGCATGAACCGGTGACATACAGTAACGGATAGGAAAGTTACAAGATCTAGAATGTAAGGAAAGAAAATGGGTACCTTTGACATGTGAGATTCTAGAATCTGCCGTCGACCTTCCACATCTGGATTGGGAACAACAACGTTACGGTCAAAACGCCCAGGTCGGATCAGTGCTTTATCCAATGACTCTGGGAAATTAGTAGCAGCAATGACAATGATCCCCTCATTCTGCTTAAAACCATCTAGCTCAACCAACAACTGATTTAGGGTCATCCTCATGTATTGTTGGTCCTTGGGATTGCGGCGTCCACCAATTGCATCAATCTCATCGATGAAAATAATGCAAGGGGATCTTTTCTTTGCAGCAGCAAATAGATCTCTTACTCTCCTAGCTCCAACACCCACATACACCTCCTCAAACTCACTACCACTGCATGAGAAGAAAGGAACACCAGCTTCTCCTGCGATAGCTCTTGCTAACATAGTCTTCCCTGTGCCAGGTGGGCCAACAAGCAAGACACCCTTTGGAAGTTTTCCACCAAGACGAGTGAAACGCTGGAACGAGCAACAAAATAAACATAAGAACATAGATAAAGGAGTAACAAAACTGATATTGAGACCCCAATGCTTTTTAATGAGGCAAAAATAATATAGATCAATTAAAATTTAGAAGAATGTAGATTTATATAGTTTCAGTTAATCTAGAAAGTGATTCTAATAGAGTGCCTAGAAAATAATGTGGTGGTTTTCGAAAAGAAATATGTATCTAGTATAGCACGTATATTGATGGATATGTATGGTAGAGTAACAATTGGGGTGAGAACAAGATAAAGGAGAGACAACTCTTTTTTATTACCATAGACTTACAACCCTTAATATCTGCATTGGTGAAGGACCAACTTTATGAACATATAAAACGTCTCATGGTGTGTGTTACTTGTTGATTATGTACAATTAATTAATGAGATCAGGGAGGAGATAATCTATAAAGTAGAAAGGTCGAAAGAAGCTTTTCGAATTTAAAGGATTCAGAATTACTAGCACAAGATCCTAATGCAACATACTTTTAGTAAAAATGTGGAGTAATGAGCGTACAGTACATATTGTGTAGTCACCCTAATTTTTCACTTAATAAAAAATATAATAGTATATTTAGTGCTTATTTAATGTACTGAGTTTAAGTATATATCAAACCATGAAATAATATATTACAGAAGGCCATTTTATGCATATGATAGCTGTATCTATAATAACATATGTAATTACAATTAGTTGAGGGATGTTACTGAAGAATGTGAACTTAAATAAAGTCAAAACAAACACTGACCTATCTATATCCGCAGCCTCAACAGGCAAACACACAGCTTTCCTCAATGAGAAACAAAAGGAAAATCTAAAGTCTAAACCTAGTTACCCCTAGTCATAAAGAAAAGAATGAAATATTATTTTATTAGGGTTTGTAGATTCCTGACAAGCTGGCTTCAGTTTCATTCCCGCGCTCTTCGATATCTATCTCCGGAGATCGCAGCCATACTTCGATCTCGATAGGGTAAGTTGTCTATAAATTTATTACTTATTGTATTAGCGTTGCTTCTTGGCCAAGTCTTCACCTACCTAGTTGGGTCTTGTACGATAGTTGATGCTAAACTTCGCCACATGAAACACCTTTCTGGAGCATACCTTTGAACTGTACATATGCATAAGATTACTAACCATGAATTAAATTCCTTGTTGAAGAGATAAATGCATACAAGTTCGGTTATTTGTTTCAGACTTCAGAGGTTAGGTTGCTTATTAAGTTTGAATACATAGGGGGACAAACAAGTATACTAGGTTAAAATAAAAATGTAGAGTGCAGTTTATCTAGTATATTAATTAGTTCTTCTTTGCTTTAGCATATAGCAGCGGGATGTTATATACTGATGAGTATGTGCATTATTCTTTAGGGATTTTCGCAGAAGCTTCGTGAGTCGAATTTGGATCGTCTTTCAGGTTACGGTAAGTGGTGATTTATGCATTGTGCACTATGCAGTTTTTCATCAGAAGTTATCCTATGTATGTGTGAAGCTATTCTGTGATTAGTTATATAGTTTTATATGATTTTGCTCGAGTATCTGTTGTTGGTTTAATCGTGTTTTATGATGACACAAGTATTCAGTTTATTTCTTTAACGACAATCATGTCTTTTTCACATAGTAGTAGGTTGATTGAGATGCATGTGGTTTGATTTTCACCATTGGTTTGCCTTTGGTTCTTTTATAAAGAATTTGGTTGTATGAACTTTTGTTCATTTATTGAAAACCTATGCATCTAAATGTCAATATACTAATATATGTCGAAAATAAGTAAGTTCATCTAAACAGGGCTCATGTGTCCCTATGAGGTTTTCATTAGCGCTACAAACTCAAATTTTGGGTCTCACCGTCTAGAAACCATAGGCTTAATGCTTGTGGGGTTACCAAGTCAACAGGAGTAGGAGGTGTTGACCGTACTAAGACCTAGCCTGCTTATTTTACATTGCATGAATTTATATTTTTAAAATGTCACATCAAGTTTAAAAGTTCATTGATGATTTTATAGTCTTAATATTTTGCTCATAAAAAATTATGGGTTTCGCCGAACCAAAGTTTAATGTATAAATTTATCCACTTATTGAATTCACATGAGTTGTGAACTCATGTGTTTTATTCACCTTTTTCAGAGTGTTCTAGACTAGATGGAGTTGGAGAGCCTCATAATTCTTCACAAGGATTGAGTAAGCTGGCTAGTCTTTGATTAATTGCACAACATTTTTTTAGGGAAGGGTAGACAAATATTTTGAATTTTTTTTATATGTTGAACTTTAAAAGATTTTGCCATTTTGGTACAAGGAGATTTTCTCCTGTAGACTAAATTTTAGCTCAAGATAAAGAGGACATTCATTCATTTTATTGATAGGATTGACGTATATCTCTATTATGAAAATTTTTAATTCATGATAAATGGAAAATTTTGTGGTTATTTAATAAATGTAGATTATTGGGCAAATTTTAGCGGGTTTAGACCGGCTCCAATTTTCCTTCGAGGTCCGAATTTAAGGTCGCGACATATTGACGAACAAGAAATATTTAAGAGCAATCATTTTCATTATTTTAATCATTATGATGGTTAGATTGAGCATGATGTAGTTCATCAAATCAAATCGATATAGTTAAAATGGGGACGTGCTTTGGGAGTCTTATGTGACCATAAAATATCAATAAGATAGAAAAAAAATTATATGACAATAATTACACTAGCAATGCTTTATGGACAAAATGCTAGGCAACTGAAAACATGTAAAAGAACAAGTGGATCATAAATGAGAATGTTACACAATCTTGTGGATGTACACTAAGGGATAGGATAAGAATTGAATGCTCGGAGAAGGTTAAAGGCTGCTCCTACTAAGGCTAAAATGAGAGACAATTGATTGATATGAAGGCTCTGTTTGGCAAAACTAGCTGAAAGCTGCGAGATTATAGCTGAAAGCTGTTAAGCTAGCTGAAAGCTATGAAATTGTAGCTGAAAGCTGTTAGCTGTGTAGCTAGCTGATTGACTAGAGCTATTTGGCAAAAGTAGCTGTACAACTAGCTTAAGTTTGTTAAATGACTAAAAAAGACATGCAATATTATTGATATAAAATTAGAATTATTAGGGGTAAAAACGGAAGACAAAAATTGACAGCTCCTTCCCAAAGACAAACGCTACTTGAGGTAGCTTTTCAAAAGCTACTTGCAAAAGACACAATCTCTAAAATAATCTCTTACTATTTTTGGTCACCAAACAGCTCTATTAGCTTATTGACCAAGTCAATAAGACACAAGCTCTTAGATAAGACACTTTTTTTGGTTGCCAAACAGTGCCGAAGTAACTAAACTAATTTAAGTACCCAATGTTTTAATTTTGAGAACCAATTTTTTTATAGATACAAAAAGAAAATAGATCAATTAGATGTTATAAGATTCAGCAATGGGTAACATGGACCACTTCCACCCCCTGTGTGTGTATGGGTGTAATTTGTGACATACACGTGTAAGTTCATGATTACACATGACCACATGACCCTCAGGGTAAGACAATAGTTGGAAAATTTACGAATTTAGACACCCTCCTTCACCTAAAAAAAAGTATGCATAAGGCCAACATCACATAACAATATCTTGAACAATGCAATGTAGTATGTACATATGTACATATGTACAAGTAATGCGATATACTTGGCTCTACTTCTCAACACATATATAGTGATTGGCTCTTCAAAATAAATATTCATTCTGCTCAAGTTGATTCTTATCAGTTAAAGTGAATAGAAAGTAATGAATTTGAGTTATTTTCAATTTTCTTACCTACGCATCAACTAAGCCAAAAAAAGAAGGGGAGGGGGGGGGGGGGAT